TCCCAGATTTTCTGCTCCTCCACCCAATGTTACATTGGCATCATATAGATCAGGAGATCCAGTCCCTTTTGGGTCGACATTTATTAGCATTTGGGCAATCATCCACATTGTCTAGGTCCCTAGAATTCCGTGGACCTTCTACACCCCCTTGGTGTATGCTGGTATCACCTGGTGGACCGGATTAAGGAACCCCCAGGGTTAGGCCGAGGTGTCCCTAGGTACCTGCGTTGGCAAAATAACCCTAACCCACGTAGTAACCCTGGACCTTCGAGTCTGCAGGCCCCTCGACAGGGTTATGCGTTTGAATCCCATATATGGGCCCTGGACCGTGTTCCTTTCTTTTCAGATGCCGCACAGAACAATTCACGCCTGCAGAGACCCAAGTCAAAGATGGGGACTCAGTTGTAAGGATGTTTAAGCAGACGCTTAAGGCTCAACGACGGGATATCCGGAAACTCCGAGTCCATATGATTGAGCTGGTGATGGAAGGCCAGGGCCCGGCACCCTCAAACCGTCCGGTGGCCTCCGTTAACTCATTTCCTTCTCTCCGGTGGACAGCCTCCGGAGATAGAGAAGGAGAACCCGTAGACTATTTGTCTGCGTACTCTACAAATTCCTCGGCATGACGCCAACCGGCCCCAAGCGTAGTCATAGCCCCGTTAGGCAGCGGGGGGAGACCCACAGTATCTGCAGTGGTGGGGGGCTGCCACTGGAATTGTATTATAGATACTGGGGCAGCAATTAGCATTTTCCATGTCAAGGATCCTAGATCCTCTTCTCTGTCATCAGGGTGTACAAAGACACTTGCAACTTTGGCAAGTAATCAGGTTGTTACCACACTACCTATACCCATTGAAGTACAGATAGGTCACCTAAGAAAGGTTCATACCTTTGCGTTGATGAAATTAGCAGACCCAGAGAATTGTCTATTGGGAACTGCAAACAGGGATGTGTTCTTGATCTGGGTAACCAATTATTGTGTCTTACCATAGAACAGGCAAAGGATGACTCACCAGTAGTCATACCTGAGTGTGGCCTGGTGTCATAGACTCGTAGAATATCAGGGTGGGAAGGGACCTCAGGAGGTATCTAGTCCAATCCCCTGCTCAAAGCAGGACCAATCCCCAACTAAATCATCCCAGCCAGGACTTTGTCAAGCCGGGCCTTAAAAACCTCCAAGGAAGGAGATTCCACCACCTCCCTCGGTAACGCATTCCAGTGCTTCACCACCCTCCTGGTGAAAAAGTTTTTTTCCTAATATCCAACCTAGACCTCCCCCACTGCAACTTGAGACCATTGCTCCTTGTTCTGTCATCTGCCACCACTGAGAACAGCCGAGCTCCATCCTCTTTGGAACCCCCCTTCAGGTAGTTGAAGGCTGCTATCAAATCCCCCCTCATTCTTCTCTTCTGGAGACTAAACAATCCCAGTTCCCTCAGCCTCTCCTCATAAGTCATGT